TAGACAAAGTACCCTGTTGCTGAGCTGTACCCGCAGGCCTGAGATTATCTTTGATCACTGGTTTCTAGAGGAGTCAGCCAGATTTCTCAGCTGCTGACTAATTAGCATTTTGTGAAGGAGACAGTTTAAGAATATGTAAATGTTCCTTCTCCAGTTGTGCTGGTAACTTGCCCAGTGCCCAGGTGTTAGTCTGTGCTCCTGTGTGTTGTTTGTGTTAAGACCAGTGTCTTAGTTTGTTCTTCATTACTGTGACAAAATACTCTGACCAATACCAACTTGGGGAGGAAAGGGTTTATTCAGCTCACATCTCCCAGGTCGCAGTTCATCAGGGAGCCCAAGGTAGGAACTCAGGACAGGAACCTGGAAGCAGGAGCTGAAGCACAGGTCATGGAGGAACGCTGCTTACTGGCTTGCTCCCCTGGCCCCTGCTCAGCCTGCTTTCTTATGCAAAACAGGCCCACCTGCCCAGGGGTGGCACCACCCACAGTAGGCTGGGCCCTCCCACATCATTCATCAAGAAGATGCGCCTCAAACATGGCCACAGGCCAGTCCAATAGAGGCAATTCCCCAACTGAGGCTCCCTCAACCCAGGTGTGTCAAGTTGACACTAAAGCTATCCAGCACAACCAGGGTAAGAGAAGGGGAGCTATGATGGTCAGAGAATGGCTCTTGAAGCAGGGCTTGGACCTAGGACAGAATCTAGAGCATTAGAAGGAAGAGCACCCAGGTAAGGGACCTGCATACAGATAAGGATGCCCACGCCCAGTGCCCCCCCCCCCATAGCTCCAGATCCTCCAGGTTGCCCACCTTTCTGGGCTGTGCACCACCTCAAACCCAGAACCATGTCAGCTTGGCACTGGGCAGCTGGCACAGGCCCATCTGAGTTTAGTCCCTTATCCAGTCCAGGAAAAGAAAAGTGTTTGCTGAGTGACTGACCTTCAGGATGAGCCATACCCTTCTTAAGTTACTCCTGCAGGGAACAGGTACCTGGGGGGCAAGCTATTGCTTTACATTTTTTTTCTGATTCATTTTTTTTAAATTTTATGTGTATGAGTATTTTACCTGCATGTATATAAGGTATACCTGCAGAGGCCAGAAGAGAGTGTCGGATCCCCTGGAACTGGAATTACGGATGGTGTTACCCACCATGTAGGTACTAGGATCTGAACCCGGGTCCTCTGCAAGAGCAGCCAGTGCTCTTAACTGCTGAGCCATCTCTCCAGCCCTTAGGACAGTCTCTATTTCATCACTCACCAGGAGCCACATACTGTCAGGCCTGGGTAAATGTTTGTTGAGGCAGTGAGTGCAAGAAAAGCCTGCTTGCTAGATGCTACAAACCTCTCTCATCCAACACCTGCCTCTCCACCCACCTCAATCTCCTATAGTCTGCCTTCTCCAAGAGTATTGCAGATGAGCAAACGGACACTTTTTGAAGTGTGTTTTGGAATAGATTTGCAACTTCAACGTGTCTTTAACTTGTGTGTCTATTAATTCATGTATTTTTCAAGGCAGTTTCTTCCCCTTTTTGCATTTGCATTTTCAGGTAGTAATTTTTTGCTTGTTGATTTTAAAAGAAAGGAAGTATAATAAATCTGTGTGCCTAACAATATGAGATGGGGGGGTAATTTTATTTCTGAACCACAGGATTCTTTTAAAATATCTCTGTGTGTCTCTGAATCTCTCTAAATCAATCTCTCTCCCTTTTCCTCTTTCTCTCTCCTCCAAATGCACTGCATATTTACCACCAAATAATGAAATACACACAAGCAAAGGAACCATTAAATATATACTAGAGGCTGGGTATGGAGTACAGTGATAAAGTGCTCACCTAGTGTGTACAAGGCCCTGGATTCTAACCCCAGCACACACGAAGAAAGATTACACTGGATTTTTCATCTTTGAGTGCCTCTTTCAATGCTTCAGAGTCTTCCATGTAGCGACATGTAAATATTTCCTCATCCTTCTCAAAGATGTTGATTGTCTGGAAATCTAATCCAATCCTGCAATGGATTCCTGGATATTGGATTCTAGCCAACCCCTGCTCACTGGATAGCTCTCTCTTTTTTTTTTTTTTTTTTTTTTTGAGATAGGGTCTCCCTGTAGCCCCAGCTGGCCTGGAACTCACTTTGTAGACCAGGGTGGCCTCAAACTCACAGAGATCTGCCTTCCTCTGCCTTCCGAGTGCTGGGATCACAGGTATGTACCACCACGCCCAGCTGGATAGCTCTCTTACACCAGCCATTTGCTATTACAACAGAGCATGCAAGAATTAGGAATGAGCTTGGGTGTGGCGCTACATGCCTTTAATCCCAGCACTTGGGAGGCAGAGGTAGGTGGATCTCTGTGAGTTCAAGGCCAGCCTGGTCTACATACTGAGTTCCAGGCCAACTGGAGCTACAGGGAGATCCTGTCTCAGAAAAAATGAATTAGGAATGAGCTGATGGGAGCTCCAATTCAACTGTGCTTTTCTGGAACTGGAACTCCTACTTGGCCCTCCCCCAAGTCATGGACATGTCACCTACTCTGAAAGTCTTTCCTTTCCTGGACTACTTACTGTACCTATTACATTTTCCAAAAATATTTTATTTTTTAATTTTTTCATGTGTATGGATGTATTGCCTGCATGTGTGTAAATGCACCCATGTTATGTAGTGCCCTTGGAGGTCATAAGAAGGCATTGGATTCCCTGGAATTGGAGTTATGGACAGTTGTTAGCCGCCATTTGGATGCTGGGATTAGAACCTGGATCCTCTGCCAAGAGCAGCCAGTGCTGTTAACCAGCTGAGCTGGCCTAGATTTGCTATGGATACCAGGTTGGCCTCACAGAGATCTGCCTGTCTCTGCCTCCTGAGTGCTGGGATTAAAGGCCTGCTTGACCACATGACCACACCCAGAGGATTTATCTCCTCAATTCCCATTTTATTTATTATTTTTATTTTATGTGTATGAGTATATTGCCTGCATGTATGTAAGTGCCCCCATGTTGTGCAATGCCCAAGGAGGTCAGAAGAGGGCGTTGGATTCCCCTGGAACTGGAGTTATGAATGGTTGTTAGTCACCATGTGGGTGCTGAGAATCAAACTTAGGTCCTCTGCAAGAGCAGCCAGTGCTCTTAAATGCTGAGCCATCTCTCCAGCCCCCCTTTCCCTGCTTTTAGGTGGTTATCTTCTCTAGTTTATTGTCCTGTCTTTCCTATTAGAAGGTCAGCTTCAGAGAGTGGTGACTGTCTTGTGCAGTGTATACAAAACCTGGCCAGCAGCCAGGGATCAGTAAACATTGCTGAAACTAAAACTGAGCTGGAAATAAAAACAAAAGTAGAGGACCTGTAAAAAATAAACTAAAATAAAAAATCCAGAAACATAGAGAATGCAGAGACATGCTTGGTGTGCCAGAATTGCCAGTGCAGGTGAGGGGTGCACAGAGCAGAAGGTGTGGCTAGGTTGTGGCTGAGCAAGGCTGCGCCCCTGCCCCATTCCTTCCACAGACCTGCTGTAGGAGACTTAGGGTCCACCCTCCACCTCTATGTGATCTCAACTGTTTTTTTTAGTTTTTTTTGAGACAGGGTCTCCCTGTAGCCCCAGCCTGGAACTCACTATGTAGACTGGGCTGGCCTCAGTCTCACAAAGATCCTCCTGCTTTTGGCTCCAGAGAGCTGAGATCAAAGACGTGCCCATCACCACATCCTGCTGAACACAGTATGTGCAGGAGCAGCAAGAAGCTAGCATGCACAACCTGTGTATGTCTCCCCTACTCACATGTATGTTCCATTGGCCCTTCAGACTCCACTTTCAGGATATGAGTTTATTATATAACAAGACCTGTCTCAAAAAAAAAAAAAAGATACACTTTCAAGCCTGAAATTGTTAAGAATTTAAGGTAACAGGGCTGGAAAGATGGCCCAGAGGTCAAGAGCACTGGCTGTTCTCCCAGAGGACCTAGGTTTGGTTCCCAGCACCCACATAGCGGCTAACCATCCAAAACTCCAGTTTCAGGGGATCTAACACCCTCTTCTGGCCTCCACAGACATGCACACACATTGTGCACTCATGTACATGGAGGCAAAACACTCATTCACATAAAATAAAATAAGTGCACCACATGCATGCAGTACCCTCAAAAGCCAGAAGAGGGCGACTGATTCCCTGGAACTGGAGTTACAGATGGTTGTGAGCTGCCATATGGGTGCTGGAAACTTAACCCAACTCCTTTGCAAGAGCTGCCAGTACTTTTAACCACCAAGCAATCTCTACTCCCCCTAAATATATTTTTTAAACAATTTAAAGTTATGATAGCAGAGCATTATGTCAAGGCAGTCTGAAATGGGCCATACATGGCCTCACAGTCCACACATTGTGTCAGGGGAGCTTCTCTGTCCCATCTCCTGGGCTGTCTTTTCACTATATAGCCTGGGATGGTCATGGGGCAAGGGTGTATGGTTAAGCCCATCCCACCTTACCTCTGGTTGCTCCTCTGCTAAGTAGCCACAGGACTTACTACTTTCCTTAAATAAGGCCTACTGTTTGCTGCTTCTGGGCCTGTCTGTGGTTTCCTCTACCCCGGTGGCTCTCAGAGTTTGTTTCTGGACCAGTAGATTTAGTATCACCTGAAGCAGTTAAAAATGCAATTTCCAGGGCTAGGGCTGTAGCTCAGTAGAGTGCTTCTTAGCATTCATGAAGCCCTGGATTTGATCCCAGCACCACATGAACCAGGCTTTGTAACACAAGACTATAATCCCAGCACTGGGTAGAAGGAGGTAAGAGGATTAGAAGTTCAAGTTCATCTTGCATTGGAAGTTCAAGGCTAGCCTGGGATACATGAGATCCTGTCTCAAAGAAAAAGTACCCTGGTGTGGTGGTGCCTGGTCTACAGAGTTCTAGGCCAGCTGAGGCTACAGGGAGACCCTGTCTTTAAAAAAAAAAAAGAGAGAGAGAGAGAGAGATAGGCATGGGGCTACAGACGTGGAAGGGGACCAGGCTGACCTCAGACCATCTGCCCTTCAGGTACAGCCTGTACACCCGCACCTGGCTCGGGTACCTCTTCTACCGACAGCAGCTGCGCAGGGCTCGGAATCGCTACCCCAAAGGCCACTCCAAAACTCAGCCCCGCCTCTTCAATGGTGAGCACTGACTGCCCCTGGTCAGCACCTCACACTGCTCCCCATACTCACCTGCCTGTCTGCTGGGCCCCTTCCCTCCACTGCCCTGCCATTCTCCCTGTCCCCCACCCCCATGTTGGGCTCCTACCCTGCCCCCAGCCTCTCTGTCTGCCTCTCCCAGGAGTGAAGGTGCTTCCCATCCCTGTCCTCTCGGACAACTACAGCTACCTCATCATCGACACCCAGGCTGGGCTGGCTGTGGCTGTGGACCCCTCAGATCCTCGTGCTGTACAGGTGAGGAAAAAGGGAGCAAGGGTGCCTGGAATCATCATGGAGACTGGCAGCCACCCTTGACAGAGGCTGAACTGGTCCCATTGCCCACTCCCTATAGAACATCGGAGAGGGATGTCCTGGATATGACCATAGAAAGGGAAACAGCCAGACATGAAATGTGCTGACCCAGGCCCTGGTTCCAGCAATTTCCAGGCTGCCCCTTTAACCTCTTTGTTCCCCTGTTGGACCCTTTTTTTTAAATTTTTAATTAATTGATTATATATGTGTGTATATATACATATATATATATGTATGTTTTGCCTGCATGTATGTAAGTGCACTCATGTTGTACAATACCTGCCCTACAGAGGCCCAGAAAAGGGCATCAGATCCCCTGAAACTGGAATTACAGAGGGTTGTAGCCACTATGTGGTTCTGGGAACTGAACCTGGGTCCTCTGCAAAAGCAGCCAGTGCTCTTAACTGCTAAGCAATCTCTCCAACCCTATTTTTTTATTTAATTTTTTTTTTTTTTGGTCTTTTTTGACACAGGGTCTCCCTGTAGCCCCAGCTGTCCTGGAACTCATTATGTAGACCAGGCTGGCCTTGAACTCACAGAGATCTGCCTGCCTCTGCCTCCCCAGTGCTGGGATTAAAGGCGTGTGCCACCACGCCCAGCCCTTATTTATTATTTTTATTTTATGTGTATACATGTATTGCCTGCATGTAGATAAGTGCACCCGTGTCGTGCAATGACCTCAGAGGTCAGAAGAGACTGTCAGATCCCTTGGGACTAGAGTTACAGACAGTTGTTAACTGCCATGTGGGTGCTGGGATTCAAACCCAGGTCTTTCTGCTGGAACAACCAGTATTCTTAACCGCTGAGCCATCTCTCCAGCCCCAACCCTATTTTTTAATTTTTAAAAAATTGTATGTGTATGTGTGCACATGTGCATACATGATTGGGGGGGATGTATGCATGCATGCATGAGGAGGTCAGAGGACAACTTCATGGAGTTTGCACAGGTTTGCACAGCAAGCACATTTACCCACTGAGCTATCCCACCGGCCTCAGACCCTCTTTCTTCTCTGACCTCTGTCATTACCTGGCTCCCTCTGCCTTTCCCTTCATTCTTTGTGTGCATGCATGTTGTGACGTGCTAGAAATGGAACCCAGGGCCTCAAGTATGCTGTGCATGCTAGTGCTCTTCCCCTGAGCTACCAGGGCTCCCTTCTCTTCCTTCTCTCTCTGTAGGTGTGTCTGTGTCAGGCTCCCCTCCCCACTACCATGCTGGGTCTTTGTTCCTCCCAGCCTCCTTTCCCAGCCTCTCCTTCCCTAGCCCTTCTCCTCCCTCTCCTTCATCTCCCTAGCTGTCCTTTGCCCCCAGCCTGACTTTCAGTGTGTCTCCCCCTATATCCCATTCCCACCTCTGCCTCCTCTCTCCCTCAGGCTTCCATTGAAAAGGAAAGAGTTAACTTGGTTGCCATTCTCTGCACCCACAAGCACTGGTAAGGGGCTGGGGGGGGGAGCTCCACAGTTTTCCCTTTGTGGGCTGGGCTTGCTAGGTCTTGGCCCAGAGAGGACCACCTAGGGTAGTGTGGGGAAGTCTCTTGAGCAGCAGCAGAGGTGGAGGGAAAGAGGTGGGTCTCCCATCATCACATGTAGCAGCTGTGAAGCCTCAGAGGAGGGCAGGCAGGCATCACTGCCTTCTATTCACAGGCATATAGTTGATAACTGGGTATGTGCTGGGCATGGGTGGACCTTGTGATCTCTTCTATCAAGGAAATTCCAGGTCTGAATAAAAAGATCTAACAATATGGACATCTAGATGGCAGGCGGCACAGAGTAGAGAGGATGGGACACCAGGTGGGGAATTTGAGGATGACAGCTGGAACTGAGAGTCTAGAAAGCTCAGCTAGCATTGGCCAGGGGAGCCCAGCAAGTTGAGGGGTAAGCTTCTGAGCACAGAAACAGCTTAAACAAAGGCCAGGAGATACTTTGGGGAAGGGGGAGGCCCAGGTACAGTTGCCCCTCAAAGCCCCCGTGCCCATGTTTACCATCCTTCAGGGACCACAGTGGTGGAAACCGTGACCTTAGCCGGTGGCATCGGGACTGTCGAGTGTACGGGAGCCCTCAGGATGGCATCCCCTACCTCACCCAGTAAGTCCCTGACCCCAATATGGGCAGGCCCTTCCACCCAGCCTGGGCTAATGGCGGGGACCAGCATGGCACAAACTTGAGTACTTTCTCTCCCCTGTTACTTTGTCTCCCAGCCCCCTGTGTCATCAAGATGTGGTCAGTGTGGGACGGCTTCAGATCCGGGCCCTGGCCACCCCTGGCCACACTCAAGGCCATCTGGTCTACCTGCTGGATGGGGAGCCATACAAGGGTCCTTCCTGTCTCTTCTCAGGGGACCTACTCTTCCTCTCTGGCTGTGGTAAGTTCCCCCCCAAGATAAGGGGAGGTGGGAGAGGAAGGAGGGACAGCAGCCAGGGCAACTGTAGTCCTGTGTCATATGTAGAACATTGATTTAACACAGATGGTTCCTTAGTAGTCACCCCTATCTGTGTCATCTCATTGTTTATGTCCTCAAGATACTCATAAGAGGGTGGAAAAAGGGAAAGGATCCCTTTTTTGGGGGGGTGGGTCTTTTTGAGACAGGGTCTCCCTGTAGCCCCTCTGGCCTGGGACTCTCTTTGTAGACCAGGCTGACCTTGAACTCACAGAGATCTACCTGCCTCTGCCTCCCAAGTGCTGGGACTAAAGGCATGGGCCACCACACATGGCTGGGAGAGGATCCTTTAAACAAAGGGCACTTACCCCCAAAAGGCCTAGTTCCCCAAGATGATGGCTAGCAGGATAAGGCCATGGGAAGTTAAAGACATCTAAGTGAGAGGGAAACCCTGTGGGTGGACAAGGACTCCAAGTCCTAGGCTGCACAGAGTCCCAAAGGGCAGCTGAGTCTAAGATGCTCTCAGGAGAAAGAGCACCCTACCTGCCAAGCCTGGAGCACAGAAGCTCAGCTGAAGGTCAGAGCCTCACCCTCCACAAGCCACTGTGCGTGGAGCCTCACACACTCTGCCTGAGGGAGTGATTGGGCCTAGCTCCCCAGGAGGAGGCAGTAGATGCCTAAAAGTGGCTAGGCAGGGCTTAGAGTTAACATACCTGGCCACCACTACCCTCTCTGTATCTCATTCCAAATCTGTGTTGTCCTTACAACCCTGACCCCAACCCAGGACGGACCTTTGAAGGCACTGCAGAGACTATGCTGAGCTCACTGGACACTGTGTTAGACCTGGGAGATGACACGCTGCTGTGGCCTGGTGAGGGCCCCTCCTCCTCCTCTCATCCCCATGCTGTGCCTGGCATCAGGGCTCTCCCAGGCCCTCACTTCCCCAGAGACTGGGCATGCTCAGATCCTGGCTGAGGTGACATGGCTACACCTCCAGGGTGGGAGCAGGCACTAACCTCCTTTCTCCAGGAGTACAATGCTGGCTTTGGGACAGTTCTGCTTCTCATCCCACAGCCCCAACCAGCCTTCCCTCCCCTCTGGGAGCTCTGAAGAACCAAAGTGTCCTGGAGAAATAATCTAATAGATCATAGCCAGAGTCCAAAACAGAAAGTAACCTTTGCTATCTGAGAGAATAGTAAACCCATTCCACATGGACCCATCCCCTCTATTTGATACAGTCACAGATAGCTCAGTAAATCCTCAGAACATGTATTCATTCATGTAACAGATACTATATATAGCTAATACATACCAGGCTCTGATTTAGGCCCTGGGAACAACAGAATGACACCTGTGCCTGATGTCTTTTAATTATTATGCCTGACACAGTATTATCTTTTCTACTTTCCAAATGAGAAAACTGGTTCAGGAAGATGCCAGGCCTTGCATGAGGTCAGGCTGAGCAGTGACAGAGTTGGAGCTAACAGTAGCCACCCAGCTCCAAAGTTAGTGGTTTCCCCAAGAACCCCAACTGCCTCTGCCTCCCCGGCTCCAGCCATTGTGCCCATGATTGGAGATGCAACTCTGGGTGGTTGGGATTTTCTGGGAGCCCTGCCCACCTCCCTGGCCGCTGGGTACCCATGGCCCTATCCTTGGCATAGGGAGGACTTCTGACTTCACCACTGTCTCTCTTTGCCCCATGATTATGACTAGGACATGAATATGCAGAAGAGAACCTGGGCTTTGCAGGCGTGGTGGAGCCAGAGAACCTGGCCCGAGAGAGGAAGATGCAGTGGGTGCAGAGGCAGCGGATGGAACGCAAGAGCACAGTGAGTGCTGGGGATGGGCTAGGGATGGGGCACCTGACACTCATCCAGCCAATGGGCCTATAGGCACCTGCCAGAACTCTGGCCTCTTACCCAGGAGGGCAGGGCCTAGTGCAGGCATTCTTGTGTTGAATCTTTTTTTTTTTTTTTTTTTTTTTTTTGAGACAGGGTCTCCCAGTAGCCCCGGCCTCCCGAGTGCTGGGATCAAAGGCATGTGCCACCACGCCTGGCTTGTGTTGTGTCCTTTTACTAGCTTCTCTCTACCCATCTCTGTGCCTCTTGTCCTGCAGTGCCCATCCACCCTGGGAGAGGAGCGTGCCTACAATCCATTCCTGAGGACCCATTGCCTGGCGCTGCAAGAGGCTCTGGGACCAGGGCCAGGCCCCACTGGGGACGACAGCTGCTCGCGGGCCCAGCTCCTGGAAGAACTGCGCCGGCTGAAGGACACTCACAAGAGCAAGTGATAACCCCAGCCCGCCCTTGCCTAGGCCTCCCCTGCAGAGAGGAGGCCACCCACCACCACCTGCACCTCTCCATCCTCCTCATCAATACCACCACCACCACCATTAGTGCCCATGGCGAGCACCATTCCTCCACACTGGTCAGGGAAGGGAGCACCCAGGCAATGAGACCTTGAGGAGGGGGCAGAGTACAGCTGGGTATCAAGGGTGAAAGGAAAGGAAGACCCAGGACATCTCCAGACTATCTAGAAGGGTCCCCCTTCCTTCCTCCATTCGTGGGCCAACCTCCAGGCCATGAAGGCTGCTGTTGGCTACCCTTTCAGAAGACACCCTCCACTGAAGCCCTGAAACCCAGGGCAGCAGATCCCTGACCAGGTTGAGTCTGTCTTCCACCTTGCCCCATGCAGGGTTTTCAGAGAAGCTCACCCACAAAGTGGTCTAAGGTGTGGTGCCTGGGGAAGTGGTCACCAACAGGGGCAGCCAAACTCTGAGTGACTGAGACTCTAAGCCCCACCCCACCCACCCTGCCAAGACATTGCCAAGCAGAACCATTCCTATAAAATCCCAAGGGCTGAGAGTCCAGAGTCTGGCACTGGCCAATCCCTGCTTCAGTAGATTGTCTTGCAGCCTACAGGGGAAGGGTCCCAGTTGCCAAGGAAACCTCTGCATCTCCAGCCAAGGAGACACAAGATGCTGGGATGCAGAACCACACGCCCTGAACATCTGTCCTGGGCCTGCTGCTGGCCTCTGCCCCTGCCCTGGGTCACAAGGGCCTGCCTTCCCAGGGGAGAGACAGCTGTGGTCTGCCCAGAGATGCCATTTTCTCCTTTTGGCCCTTGTTCATAGGAATTCCTGCCTGCCTTCTGTCTTAATCTCTTTTGCTTTCTCCTCAACTCTTTTCTTCTTTGAGTTACTAAAGGATGACCTTTCAGTCCTGAGACTCATCTGACTCTGCAGTTTGCCAAGAACTTTTCATTCCCACGTGATTTCCCACTGGATCCTGGGCCCCTATTCTGGCTGGGAGGAGAGGCTCCAGGCAGCAGTGTGGAGAAATCAGAAGTCTGGGAACAGGGAACTCAAATGAATGGCAGCTTCCAGAAGTCTAGACCTGGTCTTGCCCACTGCTCACCCCTCCTCTGCTTCTCCCCTGGTCTCGGGTCCAGGTCCCTTTGGGGCCACAGTGAGGACCATTATTGTCCTTAAGCAGGCACACCTTGGGTCAGCCAGGAGCCACATCTTTCTATAGCAGAGCCTTCTCTCGGGCTGTTCAGTGCCCCTTTTCCCTCCTCATCTGGCCTTAGCCACCCTCTTCAGCTCCAGCCTCTGGAACCTCTACTCTAGCAATACCACCAGACTAGTTAGCCTCCTCCCCCAACCCCTACCCAGACATGCAGTTTCACGCCTTTGTGCCTTTGCTCATGCTGTTTCTTCAGCTGGAATGCCTTCGCTGCTCCTCCTCCTCCTCTGCCTGGCAAACACCTATCTGCATCTCCCAGGTCCCTCCCCCAAGAAGGCACCCCCTCCCCTCCCCTCCAGGCTACCTCTGCACCTTGTAAATGCTTCTCTCCTGGCACCTATCACACCGTATTTTACTTGTTTACATGTTTGTCTCCCCTTCTAGACTGTGAATCCTTAAGGGCATGGACTGTATATTATGCATCTCTGTATTTCTGCGCCTAGCACGGTGCTTGGCACACAGTAGGCGCTCAATAAATGTTGAATGAATGATTTAACCAAGGTCCGAGCATTCGATGGCTTATCTGTACTGTTGCGTGGAAAACAGCAGCAGAGAACCTGCTCAATGTTTCTTGACTCCGTTCTGGGTCCTGTAACTGAGGGTTACTACACTAGAAAAACTGGTCAGCATACATGGGTTCAATCCCAGTAGTGCCAGAACAACCCAAGAAGAATGCCCTCAACATACTCCTTCCACAACTCATGTGCATTGGTTCAGAATTTGCAATGTGCTCACCTCGGTGCTTTCCAAAGCTTGAGATGCACAGGGCAGCACCAGCAGCAACACTGGCCCCGGCCCAGCAGTGAAGAGCTCTTCAAGGCCACAACCTTAGCTCCAGCCTGTTTCTTTTAAAGACTTTTTTTTTTTCTGGTCTTTTTGAGACAGGGTCTCACTGACCTGGATTCGCTATGGAGACCAGGCTGTCCTCAAACTCACAGAGATCCGCCTGCCTCTGCCTCCTGAGTACTGGGATTAAAGGCGTGCACCACCACGCCCAACATTAAAGATTTTTTTTTAAGTTAGGTCTATAGGTGTCTCTGTGTGGATACCTGCATATGAGCACAGGACATCTGGATCCCCTGGAGCTGTAGTTACAGGTGGTTGTGAGCCATCAGATGTGGGTGCTGGGAACAGAATCTGGGTCCTCTGGAAGAGCCATACATGCACTTAACCACTGACCCATCTCTCCAGGCCCTTTAGGCTGTCTTTAATGCCTCTGTAAAAAGAAAGAGCCAGACTCCAGTTTGCACCTTTACTTGAGGACCTGTCTCTAGTTAAGCTTTCATCGTTTTGATTTCATTATCTCTATCTCTGGTGTCAATATTTGTTTTTGGCAGGTAAAACCGGTTTTAAGTTCATGAAAGTGATTGAAGAGATTTCTTGAATAGGAAAACATGAAGTAAAGTGACCCTTAGCTGTGGCAAACTCCCAAAGGTAGCCCCAAGTGGCTGAAACCAGGAGCCCTGGCACAGCTTCACACAGGCCAGCCCAGGATGGCTTTCCCTCCCTGGCCTCCCTTTTAGGCATGGGGACGGGCCATGGTCTTCATCTTCCTGAATGTGATAGGAAGGTGCTCTGTGATAGGTCTGGGTGACTGCTGTCTTAGTGGATAAGCCCAGGCCTGGGCCATGCAGGTCACTGTGGGTATACTCAGTGTCAGGCAGCTGTGGTGGCAGTTGCCTGGCTGGTGAAGCATTTCCAAGGGTGCTTGGGAATCCTCCCACCTGACTATCTGTACTGAATGAGGGCAAGCATGGGCACCTGAACCTGGCACTGCCCAGGTACAACCATACCATGTGTTTTTTCTTATAGGACAGCTGGTGCCACCAGCCTTAGATGCCTGGTGTTCAATTCCAGCTCTGTCCTACAGTATCCAAATGATCTTGGGCAAGTCATTTCCCTGTTTTATTTCTTCACCTTCCAGAGGAGAGGACAGCAATGAGTGAAAGCCCTTTTAGGTACAAATGACAAACACAAAAGACATTGAACCAACAGGAGAGGCTGTGAGAGGGAAGCCTCCCTGTGGTGTGGGGAGACAGCCATGAAATTGAGACAGTTATATCATGGTGGCTTCAGGCACTGACAGATCCAGGGAGTCAGAGGCAGGAAGACTGAAAGTTTGAAACTAGCCTAGATTACATACCAAGACCCTGTCTCGTTGTAACAACAGCGGGATGATGCACATCTGTAATCCCAGCACTTTGAAGGTGCAGGCGGGACGGTCAGGAGCCCAGTGCCAGCCTGGGCTACATGGTGAGTTGGAGGCTCACTTAGGCTTCATGGAAGTAGTTTGGGGTTACTCTGTTGTCTCAAAAACAATTTTTTCTAAAAAAAAACCCCAGTATCTTCCTTCAGTTCTGCTTTCTTCTAAGAGCTTTCCATTGCCAGGCTTTCTCCTTGTGGGAAAGAGATAGTGTCCGGAAGTTCCAGCCTCAGGCTACCAGCTCATCAAACCTACCAGAACCTTCAGTTCCAAGCATGGAGTTGCTTCAGTCCACATTGGGTCCTGTGCCCAACACTGAACCAATCACAAGCATCAGGAAAATGCTCTTTTCTGATTGGCCAAGGCAAGTCATATGACCACACCAGGGCTTGGTTCTATGGGTCCCAGCATCACCTCATTGAACTGAAAGGGGAGTCCCAAACAGGGGACTTGACACCAGAAATGATGCTGGACAGTGAACAGTGAAACCGTGAGCCTTCACCAACTTCCACTAGAGGCGCTTAGGGGCTTCAGATGGACAGGACATGTCTAGCCACATTGAAAAGGACTGCATCCGATTTCTGAGGCCGTGGTTATCAAAAGGAAATAGGGGTGAACACATGACCCCAAAGGTGTTATTTTTTAAATATTTTATGTGTATGAGTGTATTGCCTGCATATATGTAAATGCACCCATGTCATGCAATGGCCACGGAGGTCAGAAAAGGGTGCTTGGATCCTCTGGAATTGGAGTTATGGTCAGTATGTTAGCCACCATGTGGGTGCTGGAAACCAAGCCAAACCGGGGTCCTCTGAAAGAGCAACCAGTGCTCTTAACTGCTGAGCCACCTTTCCAGCCCCCAATGGTGTTTTTATAATACACAGTTTTTTAAAAATAACCAGAAGCCAGGTTCGGTGATGCCTTTAATCCCAGCACTTAGGAGGCAGAGGCAGGCGGATCTCTGTTACTTCAGTGCCAGCCTGGTCTACATAGTGGGTTCCAGGCTAGCTGGGGCTGCAGGGAGACCCTGACTCAAAAATAAAATTAAAAAAAAAAAAAAAAAGAGTACCAGCAAGTGATTCATTTTTGTTCACTTCTTTTCTTGAACTATATGCTATTTGGGGGTAGGGGGAAAAAAGCGTTCAGGGAGATGTTACAGAAATGAGCATGGAAGCTGTGTGTGTCTGTGTGTCTGTATGTCTGGGTGCTGGGGTCACCTTGGTCCTCTAAAGCCCTGCCTGCCCACAGCAGAGTCATTGAAAGTAGGTGGGAACCTGACCCAATGGTTCACACAACCCCAGGTTCAGGCCTAATTCAAGACAGAGGACTTGAAGTTGGATTGATCTGGGTACAAAAAATACTTCCTGCCTCTGATTTGCTGCAACACCAGACAGGTAACTGTAACTGAGCCATGCACAGTGGGCAGAACTACATGAGATGCACAGTAGCCTTCAGTTAAAGAGCAGTGTCTCTTTCCTTAGATCACTATTATTCCAACAAGCCCAGGGCCAGTCTGTTGGGCAGTGGAGCAAAGTGTTCAAGAACAAGGCCTCTGGAGCCTCCAGGTAGGTTGAAAGCCACATTTCCCATTTATGGACAGGTAAGCTGGGAGGGTGACTTAAGCCTTTCTGAGCCTGAGTTTCTCATCTATCAAATGCATGATAATAGTACCTAGCTGAGAAGCTGACTGGGGCTCTGAACTTGTCAATACCTGCAGAGCTTAGCACATAGCAAGTTCTCTCTAGGTCAGTGGGTGTTCGTCAGTTAGAGGCCTCCCTCAGAGCTTTTCTGTCCCACCCAAAAAGTCCGAGCCCCTACCCAGATAGCCTGTCCTCTAACTTGCACTGGCCCAAGGAGCACCACACTTTGTAACAGATCTATCCCCAGAGGGATAAAAAATAGCAAACTGCTGCCCAGTATATATGAGGCCCTTGGTTCTCTCTCCAGATACTAAGAAGAACACACACATACACACACACACACACACACACATACACACCACAGTACACACATATACAAAGATAGGTTCTGCCTCTGACTGGCTCCATGCAGCACCCATACAGATGACTGTGGTAAGAGGGGAGGTGAACACACCAGAGGGTCCAAGGAAGCCAGTCTTCCTTCAAAGGACAGGAGTCCAGGACAGAGCAAGAAAGGAGAGGGAAAGAGAGAGGGCATGGCAGCACGTCTTCAAGAGTATCTAGATCACATCTGTTTTGTTTTGTTTGTTTTTTGGTCTTTGTGAGACAGGGTCTCCCTATAGCCCCAGCTAGCCTGGAACTTGCTAAGTAGTCCAGGTTGGCCTTGAACTTACAGAGATCTGCCTGCTTCTGCCTCCCAAGTGCTTGGATTAAAGGCATGGTCCACAACACCCGGCCTAGATCACATCTGAAGCAAAGTTTTTGCTATGTAGCCCAGGCTAGCCTCCTGTAAGTCAAATTTACTGCTGGGAGGCGCAGGCATGGCTTCCTTCTTCCACTGTCCTTACAGCAAACTAAGAAAATATTCCTCCCAATTACAGTTCAGGGAATAAAATATTTATTGGGCTTACTAACAGCATATGACAGCGATAAGGGATACTTACAAAGAATGAGCATCCTTGGGCTGTTTTTTGTTTTGTTTTGTTTTGTTTTTCTTTCCCTACATTTCAGGGGCTTCCAGACCTGTAGCCACTGGCCCAAGATGGCAAAGCACCCTCCCCTTCATGCAGTTAAGGCTGATCGATTGGGTGGGAGGGGTGACTGTCTCTCTCTGCCCCTCCCTTCCTACGGAAAGTCTTAGGGTCCAACCGGTTTGACTTAAGCAGGGGAGAAGCTAGAGAAGAAGGCATCTATCCATTTGCTTGCCAATCCAGCTTGCCACACAGAGGACACGCTTATCCAATACCTCCAATTGTTGGCAATCCTCTGCCTCAGCCTCCAATTGCTGTGATTAGAGGTGTATACCACCGTACCCAGTTTCCTTCCTCCCGCCCTCCCTCCCTCCCTCCCTTCCTTCCTTCTTTCCTGTCTTTATCAGACAAGGTTATTTTTATTTTATGTGTATGAGTGTATTGCCTGCATGTATGTGAGTGCACCCGTGTCATGCAATGCTGCGGAAGTCAGAAGAGGGCTTATTCCCCTGGAACTGGAGTTATGGATGGTTCACAACCACCATGTGGGTGCTGGGAATCAAACCTGGGTCCTCTGCAAGAGCAGTCAGTGCTCTTAACCGCTGAGCCATCTCTCCAACCCCATCAGACAAGGTTTGTAGCCAAAGCTGGTCTGGAATGCACTATGTAGCTCAGGCTGGTCTCAA